TTGTGTGTTTGTTCAGATTCAGTTCAGATGGTAGTTCGAATGATTTTGTCAAGGCATAGCACATAGAGCCGTTGACCTGAACACAATGAGTGTTTTCCACAAGATAGCATGAGGGTTCTCGAAGACGACCACATGATTGTTGTTGGTTCGTGGCACAATGAGCCAACTTGATGGATGTTTCAGCTAACCTTTGTGAGGCTTGGCGCGCTGCCAGGGTGAAGCCCATGTAGACCACGAGTTCAATGAGCTGTTTGCTGGCTCCATCCGACTGGCGGTTGAGTGATTGGCAATGCTTTGATGTTTGGTCTGTCCCACGCTGCAAATCATGTCTTTGCTCTTACGGAGTACTACCCTATTTAGTATAAGCAGAGGGAAACGTGGCTCTAAGATGTTGGTGGATTGGCAGAGATACTTAGGCCTAATAATATGTTCCACAAGACCCCTTTACTTGGGGTTGACTGGTACGACCGTCAATTTGTTTAACAGTGGATTGAAACAAACAATCCAAAGGTTCCTCTTGAGATTTGACCATGGCATATGTTTTTTGGGAAAGGGCAGCATTCTCCCTTCCCGCGCGCGTACGAGGCCCTCACAAGCTACTTCACCGCGGATCACCTTTGCAGGACACAAACTGTGCAGCATAGAGAGCAATCATGAATGCATCGCACGTGTTTAGGAATCTTTCCAATAACTGGGCTGCTTGCTCCTTTTTGCCGAAGGATGTTTCCGCGTTTCGTTGCTCCGATTGTGCGGATGCTGTCTCCTAGTTGCAGGGGTGACTTCCAGTCGAATGGGTCCCGCTGGCCACATTGCACCGCCAGTTCTCATGAGGCTCGCCACGCATTGTCAGCTGAAGGATAGTAACTCGGAATTCCACGTTTCACGCACGCTGCGCTATCACAATGGTACAGAAGCAGCTGCTGCAAAACTGGCAGCATAAATTTGGGCAGGAAGTTGAGCCTATTTGTGAGCGGTAGTTGCCCGGTAGTTTATAATATTTATGTTTGCTGTCTATCTCCTGCGTCTTCCATTTTGCCTATGATAAAATGCCGGGTAGGCTGTAATGGGCGATATGAAAGACGCAGGAGATAGACAGCAAACGTAACTGTTTGTGCGAAGTCCGCTCCGAGTCGTGTTGCTCACGAGCGGGGGTACTGTTTGTACAGGGCTGTTTCAAGGCTCATACAGAAAGCATGAACAAGTCCAGAATGCTTCCCCCAGAGGCTCATAGAATCTGTTGCTCGGTCATGACCTTGTGTGTGAAGAAAAATATCTGAGCCCTTACCCGCTGATAAAAGCATTGTTTATGTCACAGTGCACCTGATTGGATGTTGACGGCATATCCTTTACCCACCCCCGCAGCACGTGCTTACTTGACGTTGCAGTTGACATCCCGTAAATGGAACCTCGGAGAAGGAACAGGTGGTTGCATCTTTGGGGCAGGGTGACATTCACGGGCAGCAACAATACTCACGTGGATGGACGAAATCCTGCCCCACCGAAGAACCCCTGGAATGATGAATCCCCGGTAAATTCCAACAAACAATGGTTTCCACCATGGTTTCACAGTGATGCAGGATTTCGTCCATCCACAGTCCCTTTTGCTCCGTCCTACCCTTAGGGGTTGTTGAAGTGTTCGTTTCAGGCAACGCCGCTTGAAGTTTGAACGCCCCGAGTACGACAGAAAGACTCCCCCCCAAGCTCGAAAAGCAAAGCTGGCCCCTGTGGTCTAGTCAGGCAAAGCTGGTTGCTTCTCCAACTAGGTCCCCCAGCCAGGTGCCCTTCTCTACCTTTTTTTGGGGGAGGGTTCCCCTACTAAAATAGACTACAGAAAAAGGGTACCCTTATTCTAACCTCTCTACTGGAGGACCTAGCCAAAGTTTCCCAGCTCCTTTGAACAACTTAGCCAGCTTCTTTGTCGAAAGCTCCCTTTGCGAGTGAGTTGTTGTTGCTGAATCCACCGGCCGGTCAGGACGTGCCTGGGGGTGAACCTGCTTCTAGCCCAGTCCTCAGTTCTGGTTGGTCGAGATCGGCTTGGAAGATGGGCCCACATATCAATCGAGCAGAGCCCCGAACCCCGGATTGGCAACTATATTGGGTGCTTCTACTAGCTGGTTCAATTGCACAGTTGTTGAGTGGCACCCTTTTTCCATTTTTTTTGGTGGCTGCCCTACTAAAAATGGTCTCCCCAAAAAAAGGTTCCCTTTTTTTCCAGGGTCACTGAACAACTGAGATTGGGCTTAGTTAGGTCCATGTCAACCTGTATGGGTTTGTCTCACGATTCGGGGGATCCCCCAAACGGTTCGTTTCTTTTTGTTTCCCCTGTCTAAAGCCAAGCACAAGGGCGCCGTGTCTCAAAGCAAGACCACAGCCATGTGGCTCTGGCGCAATAAGAAGACTGAAGAGTTGGTGTTCCGCAGGCTTTGGTCTTTGATTCCAAGGGCCCAAGGGCCTGGTTGCCACTTTTTGGAGCCACTAGCCATGGGAAACGCATAACCTATGGCGATCCCCACGGGGTGGAACATCCATTTGCCACCTACATTGATGTTCGCCAGGGGTTTCGATCCCGGGTTTTGAGCCACACCCATCTGAGTGTCACTGGACGGGTCCCCCGAAACGGGTCTCGTTTCCAGCGCAACTCCAGACTCCGAGGTGGCGGAGTGGCCGTTGTTCGGGCACAAGCCGGAGGTGATTTCCTTCACCAGCTTCTCCATGCGTGCCAACAGCCCCGCCCAGATCTTGAGGAGACTAGAGAGATATGGGTGAGTTTTTGGGTGAAATGGGTTTGTTTGGCTAGAAATAGATGGGTTCTACTGGTATATGTTGTTGATTTTTGTACATTGACCAGGGGTTTGTCCAACAGGACACCTATGTGGGTGATGGGGTTGCTTTTCATGAGGGCAAGCTCTTTCAGGTGTTTGAAAGGCTTGTTGGTGTTGGTTTGTCTCTTTCTGGACGGCAACCCGTTTGGGGGGTGGGTGAAAGGGACTCATGGTGGAAACTGTCCATTTTGAGAGGATTTGGAGGGTGACCCGATTCTCACACACCTATTGGATCCCCTCGAATCAAAATTCGCGGAACTTGAAAGTGCATGATGTTGCTTTGATCGAGTGATACCGGCCCTCAACTTGAGCCAGGATTTCGCAGGCGCTTGAAACTTAATCTTTAGCGGCCCCCTTGTTGATCGTGTAGGATCTATGTTGCCCAAGTCTGGTGGCGTTTTGCGCCCAAGTCGAAGGGATCTTGGGTTGGAACAATGCGTGTGTCGCCGCTACTGTGTTACTTTGGAGGCCCTAAGGCCGAAGCTTCAGTTGACTGAGCTTGCATTGCAGCATGGGCCCAAGGAAATGCCTTCGCACAAGGAGGCTCGTGTTGGAACGGCCGATGAACATGAGTCGGTGCGGTTGATTTGTTCAGATTAATCTCGTTTCATGTGGCGGCGCAAATTGTCGTGAAGATTCTGCACTGTGAAGCCGCGCCACTTGCCGTGTTTTCGCCTGAGCCGGCTGACGACCTGCCCGCCCATTTGTTAGGAGAACCTGTCGACTTTCGTCTCGAGCTTCCTGCTTCTGTCTACCCGCGCGGCCGGGCGGATGCACAGAGCAAAGATGGGAGTTCGCAGTAGCGAGCAGATGTGCGCTGGCGCCACCTGCTAGCAGACTCTCTTGCAGATGACACTTAGCATAATTCAGGAATGAGCACTGGATGTGGATACACATGCGCCATCGGGGCAGCCCGAGCATTTGGCTTTTGACCACCCACGCACTATGGAGCTTGTGTTGCGGAGGATAAGGGGTTCCCTTCGAGAGCAAGCATGTTTCGACGCCTGCAGATAAGCTGCTTGGCCGCCCTGAGACCAAAGATGTGTCACAACATTTAGCAAGCCGGGGGTTCCAGGCGTTTTCCGAAAGCAGCCGGCCACTGGTGCGGTCAGGCATTTGTGTCGTAGAAGATGGGCAGCTGCAGAGAACTGCGACTTTCGTGCCGTGCGTGCCGATGTCGACACCTTTCGCCGATCGCCCGGGGAAGTGGGGATCGGATTCATTTGGCCCATCCCACTGACCCGTGGGTCAGTGGGATCAGCGGATCAGCCAAACGAAGGAAGGCCCTGTGCCGCCAGACTCAGTGCAAGGGGCGTGCCGGGTAGGTCAGGCAGCCGAAGCTCAGAACCTCAGGCCTTGGCCCTCATGCCCAGTGAACGCCCCGCTCTCATGGCTTTGCATCTCCAAGCTCAGAGCCTTCGACTCAGCTTCGCAAATTGCCTCAAGCTTCCTGCGGCTATGCTAAGCTCAGCATAGCTCCACGGCGGCACGTGCCTGAGTGTTTGTCCTTGAGCCAAGGTAATTGAAGAACTCAGCTGTTGGCGCAGGGCATTTTTTGCGTTGTAGATGGACGGTGGCAGAGAGCGCATCCTGCCATCCCGTGCCTGAGTGCACTGCATGTCAACTCCTTTTGATTGACGGAGTCGAGAGCACGTGTTCTGCTACATGACCCAGCCATTTGCCGAAGGAGTGGCTCTCACATCTGCAAGCTCGGGTCATTGATGCTCTGAGATGTGAATGCTGCAGGCGCTTCCCTTGCGCGCAAAGGCGCGTGCCGAAGCGCGTACGAACCTGTGCCCAGTCCTCGGCCTGTACACGGGTGTTTGCGACAAGCTCAGCCGAGGGGCTGGAGCGCGCTTTTTTGGGGACGCGTAGTTCTGGCAGGGTGAAGTGCAAAAAACTGGCCACTCGTGCAGTTGGGCGCTTGTGTCGCGGAATACGTGCGAATGCTGCAGAGGGTACATGCTTTCGCTGCCCGAAAGTCTAAAGTTTTGTCTCGACGCGACATGTTTGTCGCACCTACAGTAAGTCAGGCTGCGCAGGCCGCGCATGCTTTGCACGCTGCCCACGCCGCGCACGCTGCGCAAACATGCCCCCAGATGCGCCCAGCCTTTTGCCCTACTAGGGGCTCTAGCTCCTGCAATCTGCGTGTCTTCGCGAGGGCTGGCTGTTGCGACAGGTTTGCAGTGGCTGTAACTTAGCCTCAATTTCCGGATGGAGCTAGCTTTCTTGCTGTTTTCGTCAGACCTCTTAGGCTTTTGTCGCTTTGGACACACGCTTGCTTTCCTACTCAAGCGTCAAACCTTTTGCAGGGTGTCAAGCTGTTCTGCGCGTTCTGCGCCCAATGCGCCAGCCCATTGCCTTTTAGCAGGCGCAAGCTGACGCATCTTGGAGCTTTGGCAGGTGCTTGTTGCAGGGCTGAACATGGATTGAATAGCTTCTGACTACCCACTCTCTCTAGCACTAGCTTGCATCATGAGAATTGTAGAACATGAGCGATATCCTCAGAGAGCAAATGTAGACTACTGCACTTAGCCGGTGCTTGTACCGGGCTTAAAAGGAATTGAGTAGCTTTTGACCACCCACACTCTCTGGCACTAGCTTGCATCATAGAACATGAGCGATATTTTTAGATAGCAAATGTAGGCTACTCGGGGCTGAGCCCAAGGGATGTGCGTCAAGGAGCACCCAGACGCGCCCAGCCTATTGCCTCATAAATAGTAAGAGCGCCAGGACTTGCGTCTAAGCCTGCCTCAAGCTGGCTCCGGCTGCGCTAAATTCGTGTGTGGCCCCAACTTCCAGCTTTGACCTTTCCAAACTTGCAGCAAGCACCAGCAAGAGCAGTTTGAGCGCTTGTGAGGCACTTTGTTTGAAGACCCATGTGCTCTGGCTCTTGCATGGAAGATGAGCGATTGCTGAGACTGAGTGTGCGGTGCCCAACCCCAGGCGACTCAGGGCTTCTGAGTGGAGTGTGTTGACACAGGGTGCAACCCGCGACTTGTCACGACGCACTCCGCCGGCTCCCCCCGATTTTGCCTCTCATCTCTGGCTTCCATACTTGGGGACCGTTCCATTGCGCATGATCCAAGTTATGTAAATGCCGGTGAAGCGTAACTCCGTGAGCATGTGTTCAGATATTTAGAGTGGGTTGACGTGTTAGCTTCTGACCACCCGTGCGCGCGTGCGCCGAAGGTGAGCGACTTTGCTTAGACTTGCTCGAGGCCCGTGGTGCACCCAACCCCGGGCTCAACACCGCAGCTTGACAACTTGAAGCGTTTCTCTGTCACGCGACAGGCCGGCGATTGGAGCCCGAAAGTAATGTAAACAAGGAAGTGGCAAAAGTTGCAATGAAAAACCGGCCTGAAAAAGGATGGCAAAAGTCCGTGCAATTGACTAGGCAGCTTTTTATTGAGCAACCCCCAGTTGAGTTTATCTCCACCCCACGTTTCCGCTTTTCTCCAAACCGGGGGCCCTCCAAAATGGGCGGTTGCCCTTTCATTTTCCTTCAACAGCTGTTTTAGGCCCTTCACCGAATCTCCGGCACCCTCGCAACTTGTGACTTCGCAGTATGCACGCTTTTTGGCATGTAGAGCCTGATGTGATGACAACCCCTGGCATTGTGCCTTGGAAGCAGGCAGCGGCACGTGGCAGCATGTGTGGAGTGATTTGAGAGATCAGCCTGGCCGCGTGTTTCCGGGTGAGCTTCCCTTTCGGTAGGATCGGGAAACGCCGCACGAAGCCTGAGGAGAGATTCGTGCGAGTTCTGGCTGGGAATGTGGCGCCTGGACCCAGACTCTTCCAGAATATCTCTAGGTGTCCTTTTTTGTTTAGATGGTTTTTATTCTATGTACCAGGGCCATCTCTTTTGCCAAAAGGCCAGCTATGCTCCAGAGTATCTCGGCATTTCCATTTTGAGTGGGTCCCTTGTGGGTTCCTCATGCGGACTCTGCGAAGGGCACTCGTTTGGATCGGCAGTGCTTGGCTGAAGTCCTCAGATCTCCTTGGCTTGCCGCCATCTCCATGTCATCAAAGATATTGACTCAGCCTCTCCTGCCTGTGTTGAACTACCTACCTTCAGATTCTTGCGTTTTGGCGCCCATGTGAGATTCCCAAGAGCCCTGTGGAGCATCTTGGCCAATGCAGCGCAGGAAAACCAAGTGCAACGTGCGCGAGGACCTTGTGCACCTGCACGGTCTGCTGGTGAGAACATTGGTAATTGCCAAGGATGGGCAATGGCAGACTTCAGAGCCCTGGTCGCTTGTGGATGGTCAGGCGGAGCGTGTTCCGAGACCGCTGTCCCATGCTGGTCGCTCACCACCACCACCACCACCACCAGCACACCTCCCGCCGATCGTCATGGTCACCAGCCATTGCCCTGGCTCTTGGTCATCTATGCCGACGCGGTGCAGGAAAAGCAAACGCAGCTACTCTTCAGCCTCGACTAAGGCTGCAGGAAGTTGGGCGCGGTTCAATGTATATGTCGCTTTGTCGACACACAGCTTCGTTTGAGATCATGTTCCGGACTTCCTGCTGTCCTTGACACGTGTGGCTTGCAAGCCGTTCCTGCCGATCAGGAATCAGAGCCCAGGATCATTTTGCCGACGATGTCCATGAATATGTGAATTCTTAACTTGATTGAAACGAGTTGCTTCCAATTCAGCTTCGAGGGTGCGCGTCCAAAACGCGACCTAAGCGCTCATTTGTGCTGATCGTTGCGTTCATGCCGGAAATGTTGACATGGGATGTATAGTGCACCCTTATTGGTTCGGCTGGGCTGGACCCTCCCAACCGATTTGAAACCAGTTCCTCCCCCAGAATGACAATATGTTCCCTCCTGGAGTTGGTTTGGCTCTGTCCCACACCCCAAAGATTCAGAGAGTTGAACAACCATCCCCCCAACAGCCAGGCACATTTGTTCATCCATGTGGCTGGCTCATATTCCATTTCTCACTGCATGATCTCAAGAAAATCGGCGACACTGAAAATGCAAGCGTCTTCTCAACTTTGTATAACGAGTGATGGCTTGAGAAGGTCGCATGCACACGATTACCCACCCGGTCCTCCCAAATGACTCTGGCTTGTTTGCCCCCCGCCCCCCAAAACAAATGGAAACTCAAATCCAATATCCAACAAATAGTAAATCAAATAGAAAGTCACATCCAATAATTTCTAAATCAAATCACTCTGACATGTCAGTTGGGGAGCATGCCATTTGCTCATACTGATTTTCAAAATCCTGCGCCAGGAATGGATGCAACCTGGGACCTTCGCACGTATCAACTGGCTCCACAGGTTCATGCGGGTGTCTTGTTTAAGGTTGGACCCCCCCAAAATGGCAAAGGCTGCCTGTTGGTCTTGTTCCCCTTCAAAGCCAGGTCCCAAGTCCCAAAAAACCGACAGGCCCGCGTGAGGCTTCTCCAAGCCGCAAAGCTCTCAGGAGCTTCTCCATGAGTTGCTGGGTCTACCAAGGTATTGGCGTTCCGGGCCCCAGGATCTGAGGGCGGAGAATTGCGGGAGCCAGGCAAGCCGAAGTCGGTCTGGTTTCCGCATGGTTTGCCCCTTTGAGGCAGCCCCACGAGCAAGAAATCGGTGTTTGTTCCTGGGTTTTCGGTTGTTGTTTTTTTGCTTGTAAGGCAGCCCCCGGTTGGTTTGCTTGCAAGGCAGCCCCACAAGCAAGCAATCGGTGTTTGATTCTGGGTTTTCGGATGGTTTGCTTGTAAGGTAGGTTCAGGGGCAAGAAATCGGTGCTTGTTTCTGGTGGGAAACCCCTTCAAGCAGCCAACGAAAGGTCAATGGGTGTTTGCTGGTTTCCCTCTTGAAAGAACCCCAGCAAGGGTACGGACCAGGCTTGGGTGGTCAGCCATGCTAGTAAGTTGTTGGTATCCTAGGTTAAACCCGCTTAAACACCTCAACCTTGTTATTAGGGGGTTGTACCCACTTACTAACTTGGCCGAACATCCAAGTACCCAGCTTGCTTGGTGCAATTTCCCGTAGAAACGCGCACACACAAACATTGGTGTGACGGTTATCTCCGTATGTGTAAGGTGCTCATGTTTTATCAAGTTCTTGTTCAGTCTAGTTGGTGCGGTTCAGGAGTTTGTCTGTCAGTAGATGTGTGTGTCATAAGTCCCCTCGGATTGCAACACCCTCACCGGAAGGATCCAAGCCCTAGCTGAGTTTGCAGACGCTTTCTCAGCGAGTCAAATAGTGCTTGTTGTGCCTTGAGAATGGAAGCACTGCGCCTAGCGTGAAATAAAATGCAATCAATTCCTAGTGGGGGGCGCTGTTGTTTGCCATCCTCTAAGGCCATCAAAGTCAGCACGCCCCGCCTAGCCCCATGAACATTGGCGCATGCCCCCACCCTGGCCCATAGCCAGCAGCCACTTCTTCAACCGTGTAAGTTGGGTAAAGAGGCAGGGCAAGTGATAAGTAGACCTAGCCCAGGTCATGCTTGTCCATCCCCTCATAAAATAGAGGGTTTTCTATCTTGCCAAGTGGGTTTGTCTCAAAGAAGGGGAGACAAGAAAAGACACCAGAAACCGAAGACAAAGCCAAGCATCCTGTCGTCTTTAGGCTGTCCCCAGAACCTCAGACACTCAGATCTGGCTGTGGGGGGGTAGGTGCACTTCGATGGGGATTGGGATGTTCACTGGGGGGTATCCGGGGTTTTGACCCATGGCCACCTCAGCACCCCCGCCTCAGCCCCCGCCAGTAGTGCTGAGGTCGCGTCTGCTCTGGTCAACCTGCTAGCCATTCTGCTCCTCTTGAAGGCCACAAATAACTGCAGACTGCGCGTGAAAGTGGACAAGTTGGTTCAAGGTCAAAGATTGGTTGTGTCTCTATTCATATATAATGTAGATATGTAATGTATGTATGTATGTATGTATGTATGTATGTATGTATGTATGTATGTATGTATGTATGTATGTATGTATGTATGTATGTATGTAATGTATGTATGTATGTATGTATGTATGTATGTATGTATGTATGTATGTATGTATGTATGTATGTAATGTATGTATGTATGTATGTATGTATGTATGTATGTATGTATGTATGTATGTATGTATGTATGTATGTATGTATGTATGTATGTATGTATGTATGTATGTATGTATGTATGTATGTATGTATGTATGTATGTATGTATGTATGTATGTATGTATGTATGTATG